TTTCTCCTTCTTAATCCTATTTTTTTCTTCCATAAAATACCAAAAAGAACTCCTAAAACACCCTCCATACTTTCGCCCACTATTTCCCTTCCATTTTCCTCCGCAAATCCGCCACTAAATTATCAACTTGATAAGACCCCCGTTTCACCCCTAACATCTGGTATCAAAGCTTTGGGTTGAACATCCCTAAGGGATCATCTTTACACGCCTCCCTCATCTCTTTTGTTACTGTCAACCGTACACTATTCAAGCCATATACCCACCATGTCAAGCTCTTCTCAAAACATATTTCAAGGTGAATTAGTTGCTGCCCAGAAGAAACTAAAGTTGGAAGTTGAGCTTATGATGAAACAGATCAAGGAGCTCACTAATTCAGTGGATATTCCTATGTTTGAAGGAAGAGCTGATCCGGAAAAGTTCTTAAAATGGTTAGAAAAGGTTGAAAAAGTCTTTACACTCAAAGACGTACCCGAAGACAAGAAGGTCAAGTTAGTGGTGGCAAAGTTTCAAAGACATGCCTCCACTTGGTGGGCTAGCATTGCTGCTAAACGGAAGCTTCAAGGAAAAGCTAAGGTGAGAACTTGGGGAAAGATGCAAAAACTCTTAATAAAGAAGTTTTTGCCCAAAGATTATACCCACAAAATACCCCAAACATCTTCCACCTTCACCTTTAAAACACATCCTTATTCTATGGCCTTAAACATCACCAAACCCACATCCATTTTCACTACGCAAAACCCAACTCAATCCATTCCTTTACCTTCCCTAGCTACTGCCCAAATTGAGCCCAACGCCTTGTCAACACCCCTGCCCCAAAATTCCTCAAAAACCATCTCTTTTTATTCCTTGGGTACTGCCCAAACAAACCCCAAAACCCTTTCAATACCACTGTCCCAAAGCTCCCCTAAAACCACTTATATAACCTATCCACAAACTGCCCAAAACAGCCAAAAAAGCAGCACCATCTTCAACACTCAAACTCCCTCTAAAGTTCCCTCTTCACCTTGCGTCCATGCTGTCCAAAACATCTCTCACCCAACTCCCTCACACCTACCCAGAATTCCTACTCAAACAACCTCTTTACCTTCCTTAGCCACTGCCCAAACTAACCCAACACCCCTTACCACAACCCTGCCCCAAAATACCTCAAAACCCATTTATATTTCATCCCTGGCCACTGTCCAAACAAGCCCCAAAACCCACTTCATACCCCTGCCTCCAAACTTGCCTACAACCATGCCTATAATTCCCCCTCAAACGGCCGTAACTATTCTCACCTACCCCTACATTCCCACTTGAAAAACCAACTGAAACCATCCCTTTACCCTCCCAAAACACTGTCCAAAGCACCCTCAAAGCATCTCCCATCCCCACAGTTCAGAACCCTTTTAAAACCATAGGCCCTCCACCAAAAGCCATGGACATACCCCCACCAAAAATCTGCCCATCTATTCCCAAGAATTCCCATTGCTTCCATCCTATTGGTCATTATGCTATTCAATGTCCAAATAGAAATATTAGGTCCTTGGTTGAAGAAGAAGAAAAATCAGAATCTTTTAGGACTTAAGGAAGCACAAGGCCAATGTGAAGATGAACTCGTGGTCGGTCATAGGCCATTGAGTAGTCTGGCCCACTGTCTTACTCATTTAACACCCCAAAAGTGTTATGAGAAGACCCAAAGTGGAGTGATGAGCCGAAATGCAGGAGCCTTGCCCCGAAGGTTATCTTCACTAACGGTACCTCGTACCAAGTTTGTTAAGTTTTTGCAGGTTCCAAGTAAGGAAGGAATACAAGAAACATCCGAGTTTTATCATAAGACTCGTGAAAAGCTTGAGAAGAAAAGTGAGTTGAAAAGTCCCACCCACTTTCAACCCGGCGACCTAGTGTGGATCCATATTCAAATAGAGCGTTTTTCTGAGAAACGCAAGTCAAAGCGGGAACTCCGAGACGATGACCCATTTGAAGTGCTAGCCCGAGTCAACGACATTTCTACATGGTTGACCTTGCAAGAGATCAAAGAGTTGCTGCCACATTAAAAAAAAGGGACCTTAGTCCATATGACGGTCTTGATTATCCGTTGAGTTTGAGGGCAAACTCTTTTGAAGACCGGGAGGATGTTATATCTGGGCCCGGCCCTATTCTACCCTCCCCCATGTCCCACACTCCCATGGGAACCAAAGGACTTAGGTTCAAACATTATGATCCATTTTAGTAAAATTCAAAGTCCTTTAACCTGGAAGGCCAAATAGCTTTCGTTTTTGACCTCGGGGTTCCGCTGGCCAATCCTCTTTTCGTCCAACCCAACCCCAAATATCCAAAAGTATTTTACTTCCTTTTGATATCCAAAATAAAGTTCTTCCTACTCTTATTTTAGCCCCGGGTCAAAAATAAGAGTGTGTAAAATAAAACTTTTTGTTTGTTGTTATTTTCCTTCTTTAAAAGCCTTTATTGAGCCAATAAAACCCTCCCTTTATTCCATTCACCCCCTGGCCAAAATACACCTCACAATCCCAACATAAACACCCACAAAGAGCCAAAACCATGACCCACCTCCAGCCCCTACTTCCTGCCCATGTTTCCCTCACAATAACCCAAAGCCATAACTCCAAAACACCCATAAATAATACCCAGCCCTGTCCCCTTTTATTGGCCAAAACATCCCCCCATTTTACCTAAATAATAGCCACAAAAAACCCAGGAAAAAACCACAAGGAACCAAAACACAAACCCCCACAACACCAGCCCCATCCCTGAATTTTATCCCATTAAGGAGATAGTTTTGAATGAAGAATGTCCCATGCTTTGAGAGAGGATGTTGCTAGGAAGCTTCCTCTTGTTCACATTCATTGCATTGTGTATTATTTCCCCCTTCCCCTGCCTATATAACTCAGGCCTTATGGCCATTGTAACACATCTTTTTGAATATTAAAACTCCTTTTACTCTTTGAGTATTTATAAAATAGTGTGATGCTATTTTAGTCAAATCCCTAATTCTATATCTTAAGAGTGGTTATCTTAAGTGTGAGTTTTAGGTTCTAGATATTTGATTAAGTGTGTCATATCTTAATTAAATTCTAGATTCAAACCCCAAGTTAGGATAAGAGTGTGTAATATCTCTTAACACCAACTTGATTTTATCCATCTTCTTTATTTTTCTTCCATTTCATATCCCTCCATTTCTCCTTAATCCTATTTTTTTTCTTCCATAAAATACAAAAAAGAACTCCTAAAACACCCTCCATACTTTCGCCCACTATTTCCCTTCCATTTTCCTCCGCAAATCTGCCACTAAATTATCAACTTGATAAGACCCCCGTTTCACCCCTAACACCTTGATATGTTTAGGCCCATGAAATCCGAAACCCAACCCCTTAAAACCCATCACAAACCTTTTCCCTTTCTTTCCTTTGTTTTGGCCGAACCACCCTACACCCACCATGGACCCACACATTCTCAACATTCATAAATATCCAAAATATCTTCCTTTCATTATTTAACCCTTTTCCTTTTTTTCATTGAAGCCTGGGCGAACACAAGAGCCCAAAAAACCAACCATTTTCTAAGTTTGTAGACAAGCCAACATTTGGGACCACATGTCCCCAAGCTAGGCCGAACTTATATCAATAATAGGCCAAGGAACACATGTTGTGGTTTGAGAGCTCACCCACCATATATTTTGCTTCATTAAAAACCAAACTAACATGAGATTTTCCCATCCTTTG